GTAGATTTTGGAGCACTGAAAATTATGCTGTCCTCAGAATTTGTCTATATGTCACATTTAAAAAAAACGAGGTTAAATCCTTCTCTCTAAATTTTCTGGAGTGAATTTTCACTCTTTTAGAGCAAATCGCTCCAGAAAATTTAAAGAGTTTAAAGAACGCTTTTTACGCAATTTTTGGAATATCAAAGTAAACAAACCTGATGTGTTATAAACTTTAAAAAATCTTTAATAAAAGCTTAAACATTGTATTCGAGCTCAAGCATTACTACGAAACTGTGTAACTGCAGGTTCATCTGCTGCGATTTTTCAAAAATTGCGAAAAACGCGTTTTTTAATCCCATTTTTCTAAAAAATGTGACGTCATAGACAAAGTCTGAGAGCAGCGTTGTTTTCAGATCCTAAAATCTACGAAAAATCATTCTCCTTTTGCAGAACTTTTGCAGAAAACTTTTAGCATGTCGATCAGTGTAATAAACTTTAATTCCACCTCTTCCCTCCTCCTCCAACTCTGATAACAATTGTCACCTCAACTTGAAACTTCTCTGCAATTAATGTCTCATTGCAGGGTACCATTTGGCACACAGTTTAGTCCCAAAATCGGAAGTCCAAAAAACAAACGATTTTATATTTTAAAGTCACTCTTTACTTAAAATTAAAATCAATCACTCGTTCGTTATTGTAAAACAATATACTAATGTATTAAACAGGCCAAAAATGAGCAATAATGGGTGCAGAACATAATTTTATTTCTTTAATATTTAACAATATTATAAAACATAAATAAAATAAAATAATAATAACAATAAATAAAATAAAGGCTACGTACCGGAGGAAGGTCTTATAATTGCGCAAGGTAAGGAAGATGAATAATCTTGTATTATACTTTCCGCTAGGATTTTTGAAAAAATATATGTGTTGGGTGTATAATCTAAACATCTGTACATAATTTGAAATGCATACAGAATTAAAAATGTGAATATTATTAAAAGCATAACGTAAATAAAGTGAAAAAATTTTAATATAGTTATCTATACATAATTTATAAACGCATAATATATTCAATTTTCGTTTGTAACTTACTTAGCCGTAAAAACGTTTAAAGTATGCTCATCCAATAATTCGGCCATTTCAATCATTTTCCGCCAATCAGCTACTGGTGGATAAACTTTTTCATCTATGAATGATTCATTCACAGGTGCGAATGCTGTACTAACATGCACTAATGCCTTCAACACACATTTAAAAATCATTTATTGAAAAATTAAGCTTTTTAAAAATCTTCTTTAACATAAAAAAGATTTTATAACAACAATAGGTAATAATTTATATTTTATTTTATATTATAGATATTGATTACAATATTTTAATTATGTGCTCACATTCGTCTAAATAAACTTATTCTGTTTACTGTCATAAGATTAAAAGATACATAATTATTATTTAGAATAAAATTTGTGATTAAAATAGTGAGTTCTTTATGTGAAATATTACTACAATTAAGTATATACAACGTGAGATATACCGTGGTAAAACCGTGGTAAAACGTGAGACATAATAAACTATATATAAATGCATAATTTCCTTTATCGACTTACTATTAAATTCTTCATACTTTGCGCTAAAATGCAAATGTCTCTCGTTGATCTAGTATTGGTAAGTATGGCATATTTTAAAGTATTATTAAATTTTACATCTCCCGCTATGTGTATTATTATAGTTGTTCTTTCAATCAGCATTTGTCTGTCTGCAGCCGATATACCTAATTCCTTCTCACTGCCATCGCCAGAAATTGGAACTAATTTCTTAAAATTTGAAGGTTGCTCTTCATTCAATTTTTCAAATAACTAAAATAGAAAAAACAATAATAAGTGAAATCAACTGATATGTGAATTTACAACTAATAATAAGATAAACCTATTTGA